GAGTGAGTTTTAGTAACAGTTTGGGATTGTTGATACGTAAGTTTGTTTCAGTTTCATTTTTCTGCAAGTCTAAAAGGATGCCTCTTATTTTACTTTTCAGACAGAGCTTATAAAAACTGAATTGCCCTCAGATGGTAAAATATCTTCATCTTTCACTTGATGAGTGGTTTCTCTAATGAACAAGTAGTTTCTCTAAAGTTGGCATTTTATGAAAACTTTTTAACTGCACAGCATTTATACAATATTGAGAAATATATCTTTGCTCCTATGTTTATTACTTTTAAAGGTTTATTACTTACTTAACAACAGTAAGTGCTGTTCAATAATTTTACTATAGGAGTGGTGGTGAGGATTTTAAGTGTTTCCTACAATGTACATAAAATGTACTTAGCACGCTATCAACTTGCATGTGATTTTGTAAGGTTGAAAATAATTTTCTGATTAGTTACTAAACACAGGATAAATGTTTAATTTATTCATAATTAAAGCATCTTGTTTTTGTTTTTATTCTACAGAAATATATTGAAAGTCTCCTTTAAGGCTTTAAGCCACTTATAAGTAAATTTTGTTTAATGTACGATTAAGGAACATAACATATATTTCTTACATTACCAACAATTGTCTCTTAAGTTTTCTCAGCCTGCTTCTACTTTTTTCATTTTCCCTGTCGTTGTACCAATGAAACATACGCTGAAGTATGCATGCAACATAGATCTATATATTTTTTGAGATTATTCTTTAGATGTGTGTTCTCAATCACTGATTTTAGACAGGTAAAAGAACTGATGTAAACAAATTGTTTATTTTATGTTTAGTTAATTTTATGATCTGTGAAATAAAATGCCTATTGAAAAGTATATATTACAATGTAATGTTTCTTTGATAATACCTTGTATCAATTTTAATAGATATTTTGTTATAAGAAAGTATCCTACTTATTTAAACATTTATAAAAAATGTTATTGTAGAAGAGTAATAAGTTATATTTAAGATATCCTGCAGAAGTAAGAATACCTTGTCAGAGAACATAATATAGTTTGCCTTCCTAGGGACTAAAAGCAAAGTTTATCTCCTTATTTAATCTATCTACCTATCAGGGTTTAATCCCTTAGTCCCACCATACACTAATAACAATATGAAAACCTTTTCAGCCTGCAGTAAAATAATTCAAGACAATGAAACAAAAACCAAGTGTTCATTTCAGTACCATGGACAAGACCAATAGATAGAATATCTGGCATTCAACTTAAAAGTTTCTTGCCTCAGTATAAAACATTAGAACAATGAATGAAACATTAACAGTACTGGTGATTAGGCCTTTCTTTTTTGGCTTGGAAGTACTGTGATAAACATTAGAGCAACACTATATTAATTTTAGACTATTTTTTCTTCTACCACTACCATTAATATCTAACTGAATCACAAGCTAGATGTCTCTGGTTTCCAACCAGACATTAAAGATATGATCTGGACTCTGTCACTACAAATTTCAGTCTGATATATTTTTATGTATGACCTTCATCTGACCCAATCTAATGAAGGTTTTAATTCTTTAAGCAAAAACAATTCACTGATAAAGTTATGGTCTGTCATAATCTTTTTTTTTTTTTTCCTTCACAAAACTCCAGAAGTCTACTTGACCAGAAAACATGTGATTGAAGGGAACAACTTCTGGAAAGTAAACTGTTGAATAGAGAAAGATTGAATGCTTACTTTTTCTCTTCCTCCTCCCAATACACACAAACACACCAATGCTTTTTTCTTTATTAAATATGGCAGTCTAGTATTAACTATAGTTGTAGAGTAGCCCATAGTAGCTTTATTAATGTTTGATGCATTTTAAAGAGAATTCTATCATCATAATTACTATTGCAATCTCATTTATATCCATCCCCAAAGCAGGGTTAAGCATTTTCTGCTCCCATTGATCTCAGTGGTACTGCTTAAATTACATGCTTAGAGCTATAATAGAGAGCACAATGGGGATTAATTCTTGTATTCTGTCCTATTTCTGATACATCACTGATGTTTATAGAAATACTCCAATAAAGAGAGAAAGACTTGTCATTCCTATAAATCTATTTCACTATTCTTAGTGAAATGATAAACCTAGTCCAGGAGAAGTAGATATTTTCAGTGCTCAATATTTACACCTATAATTAGTTAATTTGATGGCTGGTGTGGGTCTTCCGGGCTGTATGGCCGTGGTCTTGAAGTCTTGTTTCCTAACGTTTCGCCAGCACCTGTGACCGGCATCTTCAGAGTGCAGGAGCACAGACAGGAGCAGCTCTCTCTGTGCCCAGGGTGAAGTGACCCTTCTTCAAGACCACGGCCATACAGCCCAGAAGACCCACACCAGCCATCGTATGCCGGCCGTGAAAGCCTTCGACAATACAATTAGTTAATTTATTTAACATCAGATAAATGTCTTTGAGATGATAAGGCATAAGAGTTGATAGCAAGATACTTCCCACTTAAAATATTTTCCTTTTCTTCCTAAACCCCCATATGTTTGGGACTATATCTCCGCAAGTCTCAGTTAGCATGCCCTATGATCAGGAATAAGGGTTAGTGAAGTTCAAAACATCTGAAACGTAATAAGATGGGAAAAGCTGTTATAGAACTTGTAGCAGATGAATTTACAAGACTCTCAATACATAGTGGTAAGAATGGGTATTTTTAAAAAGAAATGAATCCTTTC